AGAGAGAGAGAGAGAGAGAGATAGAGAGAGAGAGGGAGAGGGAGAGATAGACTTCCAAGCCGGCTCTGCACCATCAGCACAGAGCCCGATGCGGGGCTGGAACCCACGAACCGTGAGATCGTGACCTGAGCTGAAATTAAAAATCAGATGCTTAACCAATGGAGCCATCCAGGTTGCCCCAAGATGGTGCATTTTTAAAATGAAAATGAAACCAGACAATCGTTTGAACTCTGGGGCTGTAGCCTGGTAATTACCGTTAGAATAAAGGCAAGGGTACACAGGTGGGTTAGGAGAGTTTTAGGTGCAGAGAATGGCCCACGTCCGCTGTCACAGTGCTTGTTGGGACGTCGACTGGATGGGGCAAGTAGGACGTCCCCTGAGAGGCTGCCTGAGGCAGCATTCCTGCCCTGATGTGGTTATCACATCAGGCCCGCCTTGCATCTCAGAAGGCTGCTTTGGTCACGAGATTCATTTCTCAAGGCAGACTCACATTAGCCAAGGACACAAGCCTGATGTATAAATCCAAGTACCCAATTTATAAATTAAAAATGAGAAATACAGCTGAGGCCAGAAAACAGTCCAATCATATTAACTCGTAACAAAGAAATTTTGTTATGCTCAATAAATTGAGCGTTGAATAATCAAAGCAGCCTTGTAAAGAATATAAACTAGATGTGATCTAACATAAATATAAACACATAAATATAAACACATAGATGTGATCTAACATAAATATAAATCTCTCTCTTTAGAGAGAGAGAGCATGCAAGCAGGGGAAGGGCAGAGGGAGGGAGGGAGGGAGAGAGAGAATTCCAAGCAGGCTCCACACGGTCAGCACAGAGCTGGAAGTGTGGCTCGATCCCATGACCCTGGAATCATGACCTGGGCTGAAACCAAGAATCGAACGCTCCACTGACCGAGCCACCAGGTGCCCCACACTCTCATCTCACAGTCAGAACGGCCTTGCCAGCTGGACCCGTGAGGACGAAACCTAGCAGCTGACAACTGCCTGTCCCCTGGGACTCCTAGCTGTGGAGTTCAGGGGCACAGGCCTGTGGCCCACAGACGGGGCGTGGGAGGTGCGGGAGTTTTCTACCCCAGACGGAAAAGCCTCGCGAACGGTCAACGCAGTTTTCTAGGGAGAGAATCTACAGCTGCCCTCAGGCCCTCAAAGAGGCCCATCGACTAGAGTCAGTGACCCCAAGCTGAGCACGGCTCCACCGGGGTCCTCAGGAGTGAGGTCTGCGATTCTCAGTGACCTTACCCCCTGGCTCAGGAGGCGGCGGGACTCACGGTGTAGACGTACACGCACACATTTGAAAATCTCAATGGAACAGGCCATTTTTTAATTTAAAAAGTTATCAAAACTGATGAAACATGGAGCGAGAAGCCTGACCAGTGAGCCAGGGAGAGATGGAGAAAGTTCCCACGAACACCGATGGAAAGTCCAAATATGAAGACCGCGCATCCTGGAGAAGGAAGGACGCTACGAGCACACTCACCATCCGGGTGGCCGTCGGGCGTGGGTGAGGTGATGGGTGCTCCTGCCCCATCAGCTCCCAGCAGGTGGACCTTGGGCCCCAGGGGTGGTGGGGGGAGAGGTGGGACCTGCTGCCTCAGCTTCCCCGAGGGCATCCTCCCTGCTGCTGCTGGGAGGGGAGTGTCTGAACGCCAGCCCATCACCGGGCAGACCGGCCCCTTCCTGTCTGCAGAGGGGAGAGAAGAGAGCCAACGTGGGCAAGACAGGACCACGGTGGGCACGGCCGGCCAAGACTCCTCTGCCCGTGCTCTCTCTCGCGGGGGTAAGCACCCTCTGGCCCAAGAGAGCCGCCCGGCTCAGCACAGAAGGGAGCGTGTGCCCCGGCCGGACGGCGTTTACAATCATTTAATGCAAGCCAACTTGACACTGATGATGAACTGGGCTAGATCGAGTAGATAAAGGTGAAAAGAAAAAGGCAGTGTCAGCAAGCCTACTCATGTGCTATTGTGTGACTACAGATCAGATGAAGGGGATCTTAGTGGGGTCTTGACAGATGCGGAGAACACAGACATACAATTGACAGCCGTTTCCCATGAACGCTAGGTAGACACATAAAAGTTGTTTCCTTGGCATCATTGTTTTAAAAAAGTGTCAGCATTTGTCAGAAATTAGTCCAGTGTCAGATATGGTCAATATTATTTAATTTGGCTTGGACAAATCTGGCTACAAGTTGTAAGACATAAAAAGGATATAAATTAGAAAGGAAGAGGGAAAGCAACCAACTGAAAAATTATTAGAGTATTGCAAAAAAAATGTTAATGTTTATTTGAGAGAGAGAGAGAGATGTGTGAGCAAGCGGGGGAGGGGCAGAGAGAGAGAGGGAGACACAGAATCTGAAACAGGCTCCAGGCTCTGAGCTGTCAGCA